CATTTCTTGCTGGGTATAGCTGTGAACACTGACTAGTGCGGTACCGAGACGTCAAAGTCGTCGCGTCCGCCCCAGCACGTACATGTACATGTACGTGTCTCGCACATACAATGTAAACACGCATACACGACTGCACTTGACCCGTGACTCTCTGTTGCAAGAATGTTACTCAGACGTCTGCCTTTACAAGAGTATGGTGCAAGAGTGTCCTCTTTTTTTGTGTGAAAAGTTTGACAAAGCAATAATTCCTGACTCTAAGAAATAAGTTTTATAGGACAATTTTTTTTAGATGAAACGTGATGTATTTTTCCATCACAAAATATCTGGATTCACACAATTGGCGCGAAAATTTGGTTTAAATGCAACTTATTTTTCAAAATATTTTATCCGGCGGATTCCTAGTTTTTGAGTGCAATCGATTAAGACAGTCATTTAGTTTATAAGAATCTAGTTTTTATAACCAAAAACTCATTTTTAATAGATATTGATCAAATTTCGCAACACTCTTTTTTCCGGTGAATTTTTGGGTTTAATACTTAAAACCACATTGTTCATTCCTTTTTTGAGGCAGGGCACAATATCGATGCTACTGAAAAATAAAACAGTTAATGTAATTTGGATATGTCATGAAAAAAAATCATTATTTATGCTCCGTTTCGTGGAAATCCATTGACAAAGATGACGCCTCATTTTGTAATTATAGCGCGCGAAAACATAGTCTGTTGCTATTTCGTCATGCCTGTGTAAATCTTGCGCACGCGCACTTTGGTAATGAGAGCCATGAACATATACGTGTGGGCACAGCCCCTCTTGCAATCAAGACATTTCACAGAATACTAGTATTACCCTCCTCCAGTTCAACCAACCCCTTTTGAGACGCCCATTTACAAAATCAAGGGCCAACGAGTTTTCATCAGAAGCCGTTTTCAAAAGCAGTTACACTCTCCGTGAATTATTGCAACTTTCTGTTTTTTCCCGGGAGTATCCATTATCGCGTTTCCCTCGAAAGCTCCTACATTCTATTAATAGCGAGAGGCAATCTGCGGGGACATGCCTGGGAGGGTTGAGGGGAAATCTAGAGACTGTAGAAGGAAGTTTGTATGCTAGTGTAAAGTTCAGAGTTTTGCTCTGGAAACATGACTTGAAATCGAACAGCTTCACCAAGTCATACGAAAAAAAAATATTTATAGTTTGGATGCAAGTATTGCTGAATTAGTGATAGGCCTTATTCACGGGAGGCCATTTTGATAATGTTCCCAGAATCCTATCTTATTCAAAGGAATCTGTCAAATGGGGCAGGGCCAGACTTTTTTTGTTTTCCAAGCCTCACTTTCGTTTTTGAAATGTGGCTTCGAAAAGTATTTAGATATTCTAAATTATTAATCAAAAACCTCGTCATCAGCGTAAATGACATCCATTTGTTTCAAGGTCAAAAATAAAGACCTCACTAAACACTCCAAAAGAGTAGAAACCATTTCGAAAAAAAGTGAACATCACACCAAAAGGGGAGCCATCCATGGGACAAACACCGGTATTTTTCGAGTTGTCCTTTACACCGCTCATTGGCAAAGTAAAACATTCAATCTTTTTGAGAGCATTTTACTCTTTTAGAGTTGTTTTTACTCGTTTTAAAGTGATTTCACTGTTTTGGAGTGGTTTCATAAGTTACTCTTTCTTTGAGTCGGCTTTTCACTCTTTTGCCTTGAGAGAGAGTGTGCTCGGCTTTGAATTCGGTTGGGTCGACTGGGTTTCACCACTGTCCCAGTGTGTGATGCGGTGTTACATGTGGTCATTGTGACTGCCAACCGGAATAACGCAGGGAGCAGTAGACGCTGCTATATCAGCTGCAACCGCTCACCATCGGAGATTTAGGTTGAGCAGCAACACATACGTGTAATAAGGGGTTGTGAAGGAAGTCACTTGAGAGGGTGCAGTACATGTAACCACGGAGTTCTCCACGTATTGAGTATCGGGAAGGCACGCTGCAGTACCTATCTGGCCCTCAATGTGCCCTACATCTGCGAATGACCCCTGCACATCGGATCCCTACCTAAAACCACTTGACCTCCGTGGGAATATAGAGCTAGTTTTTAAATCGTATTTTCAGAATTTTGAAGGTTTTTTATTTTCCTAAAATGTTCACAGAAGTCTTGTGCAAAACTTGATTCGTTGTCATCACTGTCATAAAATTACTTTTTAATAATACGGCTTAGTGCTTGACAACTGCACATGATGGCCTGGCTGATGTACATGTATACTTTCAACTTGAAGTTGTTTCCAGGAAGAGAAGCTTATTTTTATTGGAAATGGCACGACGAATTCCGTTAATATTTTATAACTTTTAACCGGCCCATCAAGAGGTGGGCTATGTATTCGCCAATTTCAACATGCTTTGCAGAAAAGATTAAACATTAAAAAGTAGATAGAAGGATTTTGCTATCTACCGGCCGACTCTGCTTCCATACGGTAAGCTGGGGCGGATCCAGACATTTTGGGGGCGGGGGTTAGATTTTTGAAATGTTCTACCCTTGTAGACAAGTAGAAATGATGATGAAACATTTGATATACATGCCATATTTACAATCGTATTGGTGCACTTACTTTAGTTATTTCTATGATTTTCCCCATTTTCCCCCATTTGGGGGGGGGGTGTCTCAGAGCGGGTCGCCCCCTAAACTCTCCTGGATCCGCGACCGATAAGGTTAGCTCGTTTATGCGTGTTGCCATGTTCAGTCCTGAGTTGACTCTCTGCCCAGCTTTGGCATGCTATAAACTGGGTGTAACGAAGCATCACCACCAAAATATCGGACAACAGACATAAAAGTGGAAGTTCTTTGTGGTTTTCAAAATGGCACGGCTTGCCCAATGCCCATCTCTTTCAGAACAAGGTTACACTCATTTGTCACTGAATTCTTTCAGAATTAATATTGAACCTTTGATTTTCCCGACGAAGAGGAGTATTTTGTGGGTAAAATGACGTTAATACTCCCGACACGGCTTCATCTTCGCATGAAGCTTTATAAAAAATAACACCACTTTAGAAATTTACTTACTTTGTGCGAAAGCGTTTGTCAAGATAATGCAGAGCACTGTCCACCGAAGCAGATTCGACCGAGTTGGCACCACGGACATTTCTGATACAAGATTCTGAAACGTCTGCGCGGTAAAACCAATCTCCACAAGTTTTCCAGCGAAGTCTTAGACCCACTACTTGGCCTCTGTGCGTCGAGACGTGTGGTTTTTATATATGCATCGCGGTTCCACCGTCAGGAACACTCGGTGGTGAGCGAGTCAGGGAGGGAAATGTAAGGACCCAATTGTCTTGGGAAGATATTTTTCCCCCGTCACACCCAAGGCGGCGCCCGACCGTTAAAACGAACCTGATTCGATCAACAACTCCCACGAGGGCTAGGGCAGAAGGTTAACCGACAAAATCTGCGGCCCTTAAGTCCTCAGAGATGCTGGTTCCTGCCGATTGCGAGCAGTCAGCAGTCCCTGCCTTGGCACGCGTTCAACTTCACTCTTTACCGAAGGAGCCATCGCCCTTTGCCTCAGCCATCGTTCGTCTTCTGCGTGTAGTCAAATTCCCAGCGGTGCATGAAAAGTTTGAGGAATTGTAACTCGCCGAGAAAACAAGCGACCACGGCGACGTAACTCTCGGTCAAGAAGCTGTGGGGATTGCTTTTCCAGAGCAAAGTTCTGAGAATAGAAATGAATCTACATGATTATGTAGCCACATCATTACAGATAATTTTGATAACCTGTCCGCCGGTTTTCTTGGCAGTGATGAGGATGATTTAGAGCTGACTTTTCAGTCTTGGGGTTTGTTTCATGTGAGGTCCCGTTTGACAGACGGTAAGCGACCCCGTCTGTCGAGTGGATTACTTTATGACCATAGTGGATAAGATCAAGCTTGGGAAGTGATGTCACTAATTCACGAGAATTTGAACTTCAAAAAATTGGTTGTGTTTGTAGTTACAAAGTCATGGAGGCACTAATCCTTCTACATGGCTTTCGTTGCCTGCACTGTACTGTAATTCTTTACATATTGCACAGACGCTGAAACGACGCACGCCCTCTGTGCCGACCGAATGATGAGCTTAGTCACGACTTTGAAGTTGATTCTCACAATATTTAGTTTCCTGCGTTTCATTGTTTGGGTGAATGCTGCAGAGAAACGGCAAGTTGGAAAACAACCCTCCTGGGTTTCCCATGTAGTATCTTTCTTCAAATTTTAAGGCCTAAATCCTAAAAGAGCCAGCCGGGGCGAATTCCGTTCATGTAATTTTTTTTTAATGTTTTAGCCTGTCATTGCGGGGCCTTTGAAAGTGCTTTTCAATTTACCAGCTTCAATATCGATATGTAAACTTCAATATTAGGTCATGCAAACAAAAGACTGAATATTTTAGTCATAGTTGTTGTGTAACCGTGTGTGTTTTTTTGTTTTTTTGTTTGTTTGTTTTTTGTAGCCTGCGACTTCTAATCCGGCAGGATTGGCTGTTTCGATCGTGTAGTTACCATTGTTTTCTATTTTCAGGTATGCCAACCTTGTTTGATTTTTTGTCCCGTCATCTGTCAAATGCAAACGTAGCCCGATTTCATTCTCCGAAGTCGATCAATAAGTTTATTGTCTTTCTCTTTGTCACAAGAGGGGATTTAAATGTTTCAACATTCGTTTTGGTATTACGTCCTGACACATGGCAACAAATAAATGACTGAAAAACAATGCAGACGAAGCTTGACAGGCAGACCTCAGCTCCGTCTGGCAGATGGCGGGTGATCCACAGCGCGTGGGAGTTCCAAGGTTTGTCGACACGCGAGTTGCGCGGCTTTACATTCTCTGCATGTACCAGACATATACATTTGGCAGAGAACGAACAACAAAATTTGCAAGTCAATCATTTCAAAAACTTTCTCGAATCTCTCATGCAGGTTTGAAGAATATTTTTCAGAATAGTGCTCAGAAATATTTTCATGTCAAGCAGAACGTCAAGAAAAAACATTACATGTACAAAATGATGTGCGAAGAAGCGTTTGGCAGAAAATAAAACGGTAATGATGGGGATGAGGTTGAGGTAAGGGTTGACGAGAGGACTCTGGGAACATTCCTAAAGCGGAGACACTCCGTGTGCAGAACCTTGACGTGTTCAACCGTTCGTAAGTGACTTTGCCATACACGCTCACACACCACAGACTATAAACAGAATCCCATTGGATTAACGCTCAAGCTGCGCGTTAACTTCCGGTTCCATGGCATGGTTCCATGTAATATTAACCCTGGTGCAATGGGCGTAGCTTAACTGAAGTGACTTCACACTTGACTCTGTCTGGTATTCATTTAGCAGTTGTCCAAGTATGACGTCACAAGTCACAGGTCATCATCGAACACACATCGTTTACTACCTTGTACCTATCGACGAGGTGGCCTGATTGTGGCATAAATTGTGCATCACCGAAGCATTTTACGTGTAGATAAGAGAGTCTGTGCTGGACTGAGTAGAGTTGATCAGAGAAGATCATAAATGAAAGCTGAGAGCGATGTCGCCGCCATGTTAACTTGCTCTCATTGTGTTCAATATGTCACAGAGAAAAAGCTAAATAGGTGAGATACAAGCTTTTGTGCACTGTGTGAATAAAGTATACGAAGCAGTTTAATTTTGAACAGGCAAAGTCATGAAATGGGTGCGGTTCTCACGAAATTTCATTGGCATCAGAAGCAGTATGCAAATTTATTGATTACCCTTTAACCATATGGACAGATAGGCCTAAGAAATTACCTTTATCCTTGAAGAAAAAACGGCTTGTGTGTACCTCATAAAAGTTCATTGCAAAAGAATAATTTTGTATTTCAGTATTTTGTTCAAATTCAATAATAATAACAAAAGTTTTCCTGTAAGGACCTAATAAAAGCTAACACAAAACTCTGTATTCTTCTAAATGTTCTATCCATTTCGATTAACTGCACTGATCTGAAAATTTCAAAATAGCCCCAACGGAAAACGGAAAATGCTAAAAATCAACCATCAGGTTCAAAGCAGAATAACGAATTATAGAAATAAATTCAAAATTACTTCCCCTACCCCAGAAAACCCCAATCCGTTTAAGAAAATACAGTTTCATATAGGTTAATGTTTGCCCAACTGTAGATGAACAGCCAATCTCGTTTTGGTTGATTTGGAATATTGTGTAATTTTTAAGAAATTTACCAAAAGTAACAATTATTTCTACTGGAAGGCTACGAAAAGCATATACCTCTAAAATGGGTACCTGATCCGACCAACCACCGCTGTTAACAAACGAGGACTGTACAGACAAATATCTCTGTGATCGGAACAGGGCCGGCGTAATTGGATTGCCCAATCAAGACCATGTTGAAGAGAGCTTTTGTCCTTAAATGTGGTAAACTTCTTGGCTACAAATTTTGGCAGTAATTTTAATAACCTTTCAAAATTTAACTTTCCCATCAGGAAAGAACCTAAAAAAATATATTCCCTCTGGGATTTGACCCAAGAACGCCCACCCACTACACTCATCCTCTTCCCTCTATGCTGCACTACACAAGCCAAGTCATCGAATTCCCCCCCTTCTTTTGCATCAACGATCCCATAAAATGACACTGAAGCTGTTAGGAAGTTCAGGTAATATAGGACCCCATTCCGAACAGGGGTATTTCTCTGCCCCGTCTTTTATCAGCGGTAGTGAGTCGGATCGGATGCACCGCAAATTATATCAATTTACTGCCCAAGACCTCCTCTAGGAACTACTGAAGTTATGACAATGATTGTGCTGCTAGGGTTGTCGCTCCGTCTCTGTCGTTCAAATGGCTGCCCCGACCTTAGGGCCATCTTGGATCTAAAATTCCTGTTGGATTTGATTACAAAACACACAAACGTCAGTTTGAGTTCGATAAAAAGATTGTCCGTTACGTGGTGATGCTGATTACCGCGGTGACCATTTTTGGGAAGGCCCTTTCGAAGGTCCACAGTGGTTTATGTATGTTCGGCGCAAATAACATCTGTGTTTAACTCGTTTAAAATCGAATGTGGATCCATCGCAACGTTTTAAAGGTTCCCGAAACACCTAGAAGATTTTCAATGTACACAATGTGGTATATTTCAACTGCTGAAATTTTAGCGAAGAACGACTGAAAAGATTCATTTTTGCGGGGGGGTGTTTTTGTTTACCTCACAAGTGTGCATCAGCTTGCAACCTCCAATACTGCTTGAGAGATCATAGTCTGGATTGGGGCTATCTCCTTTACCGAAAGTGAAGCAGAAGTAGCGATACTGATCGACTCCGCAGCCGACCTGCGTCTTGTCGTACGTCAGGGTCGCCCGAAAGCTGAGTTTCTCGCCGTTGACCAAATTCGTGCTGCTCTGCTCCGATGACAGGATGTCCATCTTGTCCAGGGAATCCGCAGCGTTGGGGTCGTCCTCCTTTGTCCAGCCTACTTCGAGCTTCCACAGGCCCGTTCCTTCCAGGTTTTGACGGGAGGAGTCGTGGAAAGCCACGGTAAAGTCGAGGGTATCACCGTTCAGGCTCCATGAGTAACTGCTGAAGGAAACGAGCTTTTCGTCGTCTAGACTTATCAGAAAAGAAGAAAAGTGTCTTATCAAGCTGACAAAATTACAAGATTAAATCACTGACATTACTGCATATCGCTCATACAAGATACGATACGGCAAACAATTTTGTCAAGACGGTGACGGAAAAAAAGCGTTAGTTCAAATCTTCACTGGAAACGACGCGGCCTTACCTGCAAGGCATGTGGTACCCATCAGAATGCACTTTTCGAAGCTGTTATACAAGTCGAACGAGGGGTCGGGCTTGTCGCCCTTGGAGAACGACACACAGATGTACTTGTAGTCGGATTCGCAGCCCCCCAGCTTCGACAACTGGAAGGAGAGGGTAGTGTCGAACGTCAAGGTCTCCTCTGCCACGACGTTCTGATCCTGTTCGGCCTGGTCCAAGGCTTGTTCCTGATAGGCTTGCACTCCGGTCGTGTTCGAAGGGTCGTCCTTCTGGCTCACGAAGACGCCCATCTTCCACAATCCCGTCCCAATCAGGTCCGTGTCGTTGTCCCTTGCTGTCAGGGTGACAGAGATCTTGTCGGGATATGAGAGGCCGACAGTGAGATGGTAGGTAAAGATCACCGTTTCTGTTTGGGGGAGTAAATTTCTCGAAATTAAAGCTAAGCAAAATCATCCGTTTTAGACTGTTAACATTCGTTTAAGAGCTTGTTCACATGAAGTATCATCACTACTTCGACTGGAAACGTACAGGTTAAATATTCATTTTCCCGACGTAGACTCGCCCTCCAGTTTGCTCTACAGATGCCCACGCACATTTTTTTGATACACCTGTGTTATGCAAACTCTAACTAGACGACATTAACTTAGGTGGCATCATAGGCCTAATGGAGATCAATGGTGGTACTTCACTCACACGCACATTCTTAAGCTTGACGCGAGCGTGCATTTGGCAAATCACGACACCTTTCCATATGTACATTTTTTGGTGCGTTGCGTACATGATGCATTCATGGGTTTTTTACTTTCGCCGACACTAACATCGACTTCACTGACAGAACATAAGTGTGCGTTGCGTTCGGCCGTCCAAATCGCCCCGGGAGCGATTTTGACGCAACGCTTGGCGCAAGTGTCGGCGTGCATAATGGGAATGAAAAAAGCGGCATTGCGTGGGAGAGGCATGGAACGCGCGCGAACCACCCGTCCACGAGTGTGACGTCATTTTGAAAATTGAAAGAATGAGTGCAAACGAACAGAGTACGTGCACGTGACGTATTCCATTCGGTGCTCTTTAGTCTTCATTATGAACCAACGTCATGGGTTGTAAGTGTTTCACAGTCTCGCCGGTTTGGCCAATTTGTAAAACTCCCACTTAGTCAATATTGTTTTGATGATCACGATTGTCTTATCTCCTCTCGCAATTGTTTTAGTTCAGCGCTCAGCGTTTAGAAATTTTACACCCATAAAGTCTTTCTTTCCGTAGCAGGCTGGTCGCAGCTCTGCCACAAGGCGGAAAGTACTTCTAAACAAACCTGAAGTCGCGGTTGCCGGCATGACTGCTCTCATCAGAAGCAAGACGAGTAGTGAAACTAAACGAGTCATGTTGTTTTTTCAGGTTGACTACTTCTCGAAGAATGACAGCTTCGTCGAGGTTTCTGAACAAACTTTGCTTACGAGTCCAGATGTGGTTGATTCCAGCCCGTGCAGGATTTTATATACCCCAGCAACACACATCGATCAGGATAAATAGTTGTTTGTGATCTAAACCAATAATACTTTTTGTATTCGTCATATTAATACGATCACCTTCCCCTCCCCAAGGCCTTCTCCATTAATTCAACCTCGGTCGATTATTGTCGAATTGTTCTGCTATTCTGGTATCGGTGATGGTCGATACACACCACATGTGGTCAAGCCTTGTTCGATGTTAGACGTCTGGATGGCTGCAACCTCAGTACCGGGATCTACTTCAACCTTGATCAATGTGAACCCTAGATGTGGAGTACGGTTCCACGACTGGGTTGTCTTTGGCGCCGTCAGACTTGCGCTGAGCATGGCAAAGGGACTTTTGTTTTGAGGGACAAGTGGCGAGCAGTTGCGTAAATTTGTGCCGGAAATTGGGGCGACTGGGAATAGAGAAATGAGGGAAGATGACTCGCCCAGCCGTTGAAATTTGAAACGCCGGAGGGGGGGGGCTTTAAATGACCACTATAGAGGGAGCTATGCTTATGATACAGATGTACATCTGTAGTATGCGTTACATTCCTGCAGAATGTTACATCCGAAGGGCGTATTTATGCCTTTTCTGATTTTTCTTCCTTGTTGAGTGATGTTGAATACATATTTTTTTTAGGAAATCAGAAAAAAAATCTTCACAATCTGCCTTAATTTTTTTTTACCCCATTAAAGCGGTGGGGGCAATTCGATGGTTCGATAGCCCACCCCCCCCTCCAACATGGGGGATTATACCCCCCTCCCGGGATTTACGCCCATAGTGACTTCATACAGTACCGATATTTACTTCTCTTCAAAACACCAATGCAACTTTTCAACATGGCATGAAAGAAACACGCTTTTATATGCCCAAATCAAAGCAAAACTAACCTTTGAACCAGTCGCATAAATTGTTTTGGCATATTTGACAAGGTTTAAAGGCCAATAATACAATTTGTGTGCGCAGTAGGGGTCTGAGCTTGGAAGCTTCGAAGAATTAGCCACGGAATGACGGAACCCCTCGCACGTATAACCTTGGAGCAGGTGCTATACTGGACAAAATGAAGGTAAAACTGGCTGGTCGATTTTGGCAGCCTATCTTTTTTTTCTTCTCTGTGATATTTCTTCATACTGACACTATCTGCAGATCACATCGATGGTGACATCAGAAAAAGTAACAACATACCCGATAGATCAACATGATGCAAGTTGCGATTTGAGCGGTGGTTAGAGGGGCGGAGGTGGCAGTTTCTGTATCAGTCTTCCATCAACATTCGCCCTTTTATTCTCAACTTTGGACGGTGTAAAGCAAACCCGATCAACAGAAAGAGATGAAACATCATAAATCATGTCACTACATACATGACACAATGTTCAACTAAATTACGTTACGAGAGTTCTGTTATAATTTGAGGGTATCGTGACCTTATCGGGCTATAATTAATCCCAATTAATCTATTTGACATGATTACTTGGAACATTCCAAAACCTGTCATGTAATTTTACAAAATCCCAGTACCTCAAAATTAATTTTATGTAGCGCATGCGGGCATCAACATACCTCAGCACCTGTGCACACATGACAGATAAATGCGGTATATACCCCTTCACTTTAATGCAATGTAAGCCTAGAGAAACCTCTGTCCCAATCCCTACGGTTAATTCTGTGTCAAGGGTTAAAATAGACGCTGTTTACTATAAAGTTTCCTTGCCCCGAAAAACAGCTACATCAACATTATGGTAAAATTACGATACTTGGTACTTTACAACTTTAAGAGCACCCCATTTGGACGCATGTCTGGGGTAAGTACGACTCAGGTTCGGTCAAAAACTCGTATGCGTCGGCTGGGACGGTCCCGCGGCTCAACTTGACACAGATGTAGCGCACGTCGGCGCAAGACGCCCCCGTCATGTCGAAGTTGTTGCGCACGCTGGTCAAAATGAAAGACTCCCCCAGAATCAGAGTGCGTCTGGACTGCAGGGTTGTCAGAGTGTTGGGGTTTTCAGAAACCTGGAAGAGGTTCGATAGAAACGAAAAGGCTAGAGATGTTTAAGAGAACACGTTGCCGGTAGCGGGTCTAACTTCTTGTGGAGGTGTTTAGGACACTGTAATATTGGCCTAAGTATTCTGAGAGCAACCGTATGTCCGGAGAGATGCACAATGAATTAGATATGTTCACTGGAACTGATTATGTTCACTGAATCACTGTGCGTGATGTTTTTTCTGAAGGATCGAAATCGGCCAAAAAAGACCGGAAAATCAGCTGGCCCGGACGAGCCAAGAGTTGTTAAAAGAGGGTTTTACATGGCTACCATCTTGCAGGCCAGTGCTTTTGTTCAACGGGGTATGCACAAAGTAGGTTTCCCTATGGAACAAAAGAACTGCCCTGCAAGGTGGCTACCCCGCGAAGCCTCTATGCCCTACCTTCGGTCCACTACCGTCGGCGTTGGCGCTTCCCCAAAGTGACAGGACCCAAAGCCTATTCCCGCTGATCTCGCCGACCTGGCGTTTGTCGTAGATGGCCTCCATGATGAACTTGAGGTAGTTGACTGAGCCGTCCTGGCCGGCCTGCACGGCCGTGGGACTGCCGGGCTTCACATGCAAGGTAAGCCCGCTGATGATGAATCTCGGCACTGGTGGGGCTAAAGACGAGTGCAATGCAAATCAAAGACACTCAACATTACAAAAAGACGGCAATAGGATAACCTTTTCAAAATTCAATTGCATCAAAATTGTCGACAGTTGAACAGTTGAACTTAACTCTGCAAGTCCAGGAAAATATGGCTCTCCGGATAAAAAATCCTGTCTTGTTTTTGTGTATTTTGTCCACCGTACACGGAAATACATTCTGATTTCCGTATGAATTTACACACACCCTGTAGGCAGTTTTAAGTTCCCTTGATGGACGGTATAGCGCCTTACGTGTGCACGTCAGCTCCATACACGCTCTCAGCGGATCATACATGATGAAATCCGGCTCCGGATCCGCGCCCTTTTCGAACTTCAAGCAGAAGTACGGGTAGTCATAGCAACCGACACCGCTGATGATGAAGTCGGCGTCCACGTCGAACTCCAGGCTCTCCCCAGGCGTCAGCGGCTTGTCCCGCTGGCACTTGCTGAGTACAGACCGCTCGTCGAAACGGTCGTCCCCGCTGCCGTCCAGGTTGGCACTGCCGTAGATGGACAGCTGCCAGAGGCGGGAGCCTCGGATAGGGTCGGTGGGGTCGGACTCGCTGGCAGCGATGCTGACGTTCAGGCTGACGTGGACGGGTTCCTCGTAGTGTCCGGTGCCGATGTCGGTGAACGAGAATGACAGCCGCCCTGCTCTGGCAACGGGGAGCGGTTCGTCTGTGTTTGGTCAGTTATCAAACCAGGAATAGAAAATATAAATGAGATAGGTGGTCGCTGCACTTGATGATGCACTCTGCACAACTCTCCGATTCGATTTGAAAGAGAATGGTTAGCGTGAAAGTTAACCGTAAAAGGTCTCACGACACTGCTCGATCGGTGTATATGAAACCGCCAAAACCAGACCATTCGCTGTATCAATTCAGACAAACTAAACCTCACACCACGTTAAATATAACATGCGATTTTGTAAAATATCTTTTGTAAAATATATTTTGTTTAAAATATCTGTGTAGGAAAATTGAAAGCGGGGAGGGGAGGTCCCTGTACGTTCTAAAGCGCAAAGTAAAGGATCTTATTTTCGATGGTGCCTTTTCCAGTCCCTGGGTAGTCCGTGAAACTGCTTTAAATTGTATGTCTCCCGTCAACTTCTTAAAATGCATGTTCGCTACCATTGGAGATAGGATTGAAGACCGTGTTATTTTTTGTCACTCGGCACACCATTGGTCATTATGTCAGGCAACAACTTTACGATTGTGATACTTACTAGTCTTGGTTCCATGACTCTCCTGTTAGCCAATATGTATTAATTCAAACTATAGATGGCGCTATATTTGTTTGGATCTTTCGTCTGGAGAAAGCGCCCGTAATGTAGTGCGATGCGGAGCTAGCTGTTAATAGAGAGAGTTACGACATAACTGTCTCAGTTGTTGGAACCAAAATAGTGGGTTATGCGTCAGTGCACACAAACAATTAGCACGCAATAGCTGCATGCTGCACTGCACACATAAACAGCCATGCCATAGTAAAGTTGACGTTGCTCTCTCTATATACAGCTCTGGTGTGATGGGTCATGATCGCGGACTGAAGAAGGTCTTCGAACCAGGACTGGATACTTACAAGCACAAGGGACTTCCAGACACACCGTCAGTGGTGCCTCGAAAATGAAGTTTGGCACAGGGCCATAGCCCTTGCCGAACTCCACACAAAAGTAGGGAAAATTGTCGCATCCCACCTGCCCAATTACGAACTGGGTCGTCACATCAAAGACGAGCCCGTCCGTGGGCGTCAGGCGCGCGTCCTGGTCCGAACCGCTGAGTACCTGCGGGCGCTCGTCGAAGCGTTCCCCGTCGGACCCGTTCTGCCCTTTGTTGCCGAAGATGGCGAGCCTCCAGAGGCCCGTGCCCTCGACGATGGAGGTGGGAACGTCCGGGCTCTTGCTTGGGGTCAGCTCGACCTGGAGGCTGATGTTCACCGGCTCATCGTGAGGATAGGTGGGTGGTAGCACGAGTCTCACGGTCATTTCGCTGAACCGCGCCGTAGGGATCGGCGGAACGTCAGGATCTGGAAACAGAGGATTGATCCAGCCCATATTTCTACGATAACCGTCAGATAGTGCTAAAGTTCATTAGAACACCAGGAAAGGGCCTTGTGTAGAAAAACAGACGCAAAAAGGGCCCTCGGAACAAAGTCAGCAAAGGATGTGCTGAGGCTGGATTGGAGGAATATAAAAGGAAATTGATTCAAGTAACACACTCAATACTGAAGCGATACCAAAGCATTCCTGAGTGCAAAAGTGCATGGGATAATGCTAACTAACGGGTCCTCGACAGAATGACAGCAAAGTGGCGACCCCAAAGCCTGTTTTTGAAGGAAAATGTATATAAAAGCCTGTTGCAACTCACATAGACAGTTGACTTGTCGACAGTGGGTGATGGGTCCCTGGATGGTAAAGTCCGGCTGTGGATTTTCACCTTTATCCAGTGTGATGCAGAAGTACGGGTAATCTTCGCACCCCACCCCGCCAAGCAAGAACTGTGTCCGTATCGTCAGCTGGAGCGGTTTACCCGCCACCAGGCTCTTGTCTGTGTTTCCGGTGGTAGTCAGGACCTGCGGCCGCTCGTCGTACCGATCGCCCCCGGTGCCGTCGGTCGACTTGCTGCCGAAGATAGAGACCCTCCAGAGGCCTGTGCCTTCCAGGTTTTGACGGGAGCTGGCGCTAGGGACGGCGGTCACAACCAGGAGAATCTCAATGGGCTCGTCCCGGGGGACGGAGGGTGTGTCCAATTGATCCAGGCGCAGCTCTGAGAAAATGATGTCACGGCTGGCATCAGCTGAGTCGTCCGGATCTGGTGTCGAAAATACGGCATTTTGTCAGGGTTGCAATCCAGTCATTCACAAGTCAAATGACAATTCGGTTGATAAGTAACAGAGTCGGAATATCTTAGCCACAGTTCAGTGGCTATAGGCTTGTGGTTGGTCTTGAGATCGAGTGATTAGTGGGCGAATTCGGGCGGGAACTAAAGTTCGGCCACCGTCAGTTATTTTTAACAGTGCTTATGTGCTACACAGTCTAACTCAAACAACCCCAATTGAATTATTTTGTAACTAATTCATACTGGTAAAATGAATCGGTTATTGATAACCAGCGTTGCGATGATGCCAATGGCCTGGTCCTGAATAGTCGACAAAATGGAACAAACTATCCATCCGTCGTGGAACACTGGTCGAACTATAGTTGACTGCCTCTTGAACCTGACCTGCGATTGACTAGTAATGACTCATAAAGACTTGGTTAAAGCTTCTCCAGACTTCAGATTTGCTTGACTCATGCCAGCAGAAAAAAAAGTGGATATTTACAATAACACGGTGTAGACCGGCAACTGATCCACTTCTCCGGGTCTAGATCAAAAGTCATCGATGCGTCGGCCGCCCGGCTGACCTGCACACAGAGGTACGGCCCGGAGGAGCCACAGGCAAGACCACTCAGATCGAACGCGGTGCTCTCGTCGAAGGCCAAGCTGTCGGTAGGGGAGAAGCTCTGAGCCCTCTCGTTGTTGCCGACGAAACCTGTCCGCTCGTCGTACCGGTCGGTGCCCGAGCCGTCCCCCTCACGGTTACCGAAGATCGTTACGTCCCAGAGACCGGTGCCGGTGATGGTGTCCGTATCGGCACGCGCCTCGGCCCTCAACTGTAGCCGAAAGTGTAGAATGAAGAATTCAAGATTGTTTTTTTTTTTAAGGCAATACCGTTTCGTTGTGCCTCTTAGTGTCCCAGTTGGCCGAAAGGTGATTCTCCGTTAGAGGGCTTGAAGGAAATATTTCATATCAGAAGTCACATACCACCAAGGAAGCAAACGTAATTAACCATTAATGCTTCTCTCCAACTACAACGCTACGGCTACATTCATGTTGAACTTTTTTCAAGATGTATTCACTTGACTCAGACCGGCTAACCGACCCCGGCAAGCTCGGTGGTCGAGTGGTTAAGACATCTGCACTAGTAAGCAGGAGGTCATGGGTTCGAGTCCCATCCGAGTAAGCTTGTGAGTTTTTTTCGCAAGCTCTCGGACAAGCACTGAGTATACAGTGATTATTAATACACGTTGGGTAAGGGAAAACCCATTATATAAATTGACATGTTAAACTCGCCAGTTCCAGCTATCATTTAGGATAGGGCTGCCACTATCTTGGATATGACTGACATTTTTGACGGAATAAGCCGCCTGAAGTAAACAGATGGAGGACCTTAGCACCAGACTGGGAACACGTACCTGGATGGAGACTTGTGCCGGTACGTTGTAAGACGGTGGGTAGATCCCTGTTGCCTCATAACTCCACACAAGCGTTCCAGAAAGCCGTGCTACATAATACCAATACGGAAAATGATCAGATTATAAGCTTTCTCAACCAGCTCCCTCCTTTAATGGGCTCGATCAAGCATTTGCTTGTATTTCATTGTATTTTGCCACATCCATGACGATGATCATTGCCAATGCCTTAAAAATATTATCACACAAGAAAACGGAGAGAAATATGGATCACCCTACCCACGGCAGTCTGCGCTCTCGAGACTTGAACTGTGGCACTAAGAAAGGCAAGGCACAGGAGGCCTACGACGACCCTAAGACAAGACCAAGACATGACTTCTCTCGTATCGATACCGGTTTTTGTCCGGAGGAGGAGACCGTCTTCGACAACAATCTCTTTCTGTGTCAGTAGCTCGTATGGCCGAGAGACAAATTGCACAGATCCCAAGCTACCGTTTGAACCAACCCCGGATGTGGGAATTGAGAACTGAAATGATCGATTCGACGGTATCGACTACTTCAGTGGCCGAGTGATGTCCGGCTGTGGTTACTGGCAGCTCAAACAGTTCGCAGGAAACGTGAGCAAACACTTGACCTTCGCGCCAAGAGCACTCATGGTTGTAACGTGTTGACTGATGACGTCAGACACAAGATGCTCTCTCCTTGACTTTCACAAACGTCAGAAGCAGCTATGACACTCGTTTTCTCTCTTGTGCTTATGTGTTATCGGAGGGAATTCTGCAAAATTATCTGTGGGACTTGGAACAAGTTGCTACGAGGACTAATTGGGCTAGTCAAATAATGGCAAGTCAACCCGTTTCCCGTGGAACTCTCAACAAGCTTGGGAGTGGGTTAAGAACGTAATCGATAGTCTCAGCTGCCTCTAGGGCCAAGCTGTTGCGCTTTTGTGTTGTGCTTTGGTTATTTGCACGACCAAATCAGTTCATTATTTGAAGTGGCCGAGATCGACCTGAATCGTTGCAAAAGTGGTCTTTCTGGTATCTTTCTGTATTTTTAGCCACTGGTAGAATCTGTTGCTAATGAATCAAAGAGAAGTTTAGATCCGAAAATTATTTTTTTAAATAGATTGAAAATTTTGATAATTGAGCATCTGAAAAAACAAACAGGCAAACAAACTAAGTAACAAAAACACGACTCGGTCGCTGAATTATTGATGACAAATACATGTGAAAAGGGGAGCGTGCTTTCAACTGGTGAGATCCGATCGTTAGCGGTTAATTTTCACGAAATATTCATTTGGGGTGTTCTGCTTTGTCTTGAGTGTTAAACATCGTTTCTATACGTTCTATACGTTTAAATTTAATTCTAACTTATGGTGTGGAAACTCGCTTCTCGAGTCGCAATTTATTTTGACATAACACTAGACTTCGTGGTAAAATGACGCGACTAGGACTTGTGAAAAATGCCTTCGTCTCTGAAATGGGAACAAGTTGTATCATGCTTATTTTCAAACTAAAGGAATGGTTCGATCTTTTGCAGTAAATTTCCCTCTCAATACGTTGCTTTTGAATGAGTTAAAATGATACATCTTAATGGGTTAAAAATCAGGGCATGCCAAAACGGAGATAGACGAGACTGAAAAAAAATCTCCCAGATAAAATAATTATGTCACTTTTGACTGCCGCGTAATCAAAAGAGGGCGCTGTTAACTAACCTCATAATGATAAAGCTGAGCAGCGTAGCGCTAGCGTCGCACGCGTGCAACATAACAGCACGTTATGCGTGTGTATATATCGTGAGGAGCTGTCAGATTGCCCGGGGGCCTGTTAAGTTGTAGCATATAGAGGACAAAAGCAAACTGATGAGTTGTTCGATGATTCACCATGCTGCATTGTTGGTTTGTGGGGCAATTCCCGACACTTCGTTACGTAATCTGATTTTAATCATTTCCGCTGTGTGCCGTCTCTGGGGGAAAATTATAACAACAGTGTTGTCGTCCACATGCGTACGCCTGCACCCCGTGTGTTCTCACTGCAGTGGACCTAAGGCTGGAGTGAGCGACGGCCGCACCGTTCAAAGTTGTATTTCTGTTGTCTTTGTGGTCGTACCTTCGACAAAGATTTAGGTAAGTTTGATTATGTATAACGTACGTTTATGTTTTCACATTATAACGACCACTATGCATGCAAACATGGTGCTTCTCTGCAAAATTATTCTGGAAAGAAGGGACATCCCATCAAGAAAGACCCGAGATTTGTTTCCATGTTTTCTTCTGCACGGCTAAAACTTTACTCTGTAAAGCAAGTTTTTTTTTCTTGTGGGATCAGAATGTACGTTCCTTGTGTTAACCCTTGTGTTTAAGAAAGCTCCCACCCTTTTTGAACATTGTTCCGCTGCCTCTGATGCCGGGCTAAATTGGTAAGATTTCAAAAATTGAGTGTTGTTGCACACTACACTGTACGTATTGGAATCAGGTGTGGACTGGTACATACATTATAGGCCTACGGCTCTCCGCTATTTTTATTTTTAATCCGCCCATTTACCACATGCTTCCCCCGTCGAACTGGAAAACAAAAATCAGTTAATAAAATTTGGACTTCCTTCAAGTAGGAGGCCTTCAATTAAAAGTGCGGTTTCACACGGGTCTCGCCATTTCTATGCCAACTGTAGTGTTTAATTGGCATAACTGACTGGTGCCTGGACTACATCGTATTCTTTGTCACCTTAAAAGACATGATTTTTCTCTCCTTATATTCCTCATTTGTGTGGATTTAAATTAAAGGGGCAGGTTATTTCTATGTGCTGCATATTTTGCGATGTTGTATGTTATGTGGGTGACAAAATGCTTCCCAATTTTTGGCATCTGTGTGCAATTTAAGTTCGATTCAAATGTTGTCTTGCACTGTGTTCCAGAGATTGCAGGTGAAAATCCACTTCATTTATTCATTTTTTTCAGTTCATCTGAATAATTATTAACCAACTAACATAGTCTGTTTCCCTTTTTAGTTGAATAGGATGAAATGCTTTCCACAAAGCTGTGTACCATATCTTCAGGAATCAAATCTTTTTTTAATAGTCACAGAACGTTCCTTTAAGGGGTATCATATTTTCAGATGGGACTGCCCCTTTAAGCTCTAATTCCTTTGCTCCAGTCTCTCTCATCATTACCTCCACGTGTTGGCAGCTGGTGAAGCGGCTGACGCCGTGGTCGCGCGCCGCGCCAGTCGGCAAAGTGTGACTGAGTGTAATTGAAAAGTAACCCTGCCATTACTGGCCGGCCAAGGATGCAGCAGAAAAAGGAGCGAGAATGCATCTCTCAACAGATTCCATTTCAATTTTAGTAGGGGAAAAGAAGTCTAAGCTGGGGATGATACGATGAGATTTTATAAAAATCCTCCGACTTAATGTCTCCGTGTGCATGACTTATGGTCAACTGATGAGAGGGGCCCACTGCATCTTTATAAATGAACGTAAATTTGGTTTGACATAATGCCCATCGTGGACTCACAGGGCTTTATGAAGGGGATTTATCAAGTCTTCGTGAACCACATTTGACATCATGGAGGTCAAAAACATTGATGACAGTGGAGCGACTGAAAACCAGATTGTGCAAATTTGTTATTTTCTGTTATTTTACAGCTGCAAGGGAACAAATGTTTTGTTTCGTTAATTGGTAATGTTGTTAAATATTAACTGACATTCCCCAAATTCCATGAGTTTAAACTGTATGTGTCCTTCATGGGTGTTGTATTACTGTATTAGGCAAATAAAATCTACTCTGGTTTATTTTTTCTGTAATTTATTTTTTTCTTGATAAGTACACTGTATTGTTTTAAGGTTCAGCTCACTGTACAAGTACATAGCACATTTAGGCCAACATGTTTTTCATTAATTTTAATGAACAAGTGCATGGATTAGGGCCCTCCCACATTGCACAGAGCCACCACCCACATTAAGGTTCCTGCACTTTCTGTTCCACCCCTCCCCCAGAAGAGGACCACATTTTATTCCCATTCAGTTGGGCCATTTCAACAGGCCCAGGGGCTCCCTGCAGTGGTTTGTTGATTAATTACCAATCCAGGTCAGGTGTCAATTAGCCAGAGACCAACTTGCCTGAGTGATTGATTGACTGATTAGAGCCCCCTGGTCTCATTATCCATCCTGGCCAGTCAGGTTGTTATCCTCTCAAACCTTGCCCAGTTTCTTATTAATTTGCTGATGAGTCTTGAGTTTCCCTTGATTAATAATCTATCCAAGACAATTGTGTCAGGCAAACCTGGAGATTGAAACATTGGTTTAAATAACCCTGGACATTTGCATCAGTTATAGGAACAGTGGAAAAAAGGAATAACTGGTTTCTAGAATCTATATTTTTCAGAGAATTTGAATGAAAAGCTCAAGATCAAAATCATGAATTCCTCTGATGAAATAGCTGGGAAAAGACAAAGGTCAGATGAAATATATGCATATGTGGCTGAATCTAAGGGGGAAAATATCATTTACTATTTAAGCGTTACTTTAAAATGTTAATTTTTCATTTTTTTTAAAGTTTGGGTTCCATTTTTTTGTGTTGCTGTCAATTATATTCTTGACGGACAATATTCAGTATATTATTCTTCAACTGGTCAAATTGCAGATAAGATTTTCTGCGATTAAAGCTGTGTACATGTGTGAGTATTTTGAGCTTGGTTGAGAAGTAATTTTGGAATGGAAGCAACCGAGAGTTAATGAGATTGAGAACCGCTTTGTTTGGATAGAGAGTAGAGCAAACAGTGACCAAAAGAAAAAACATGTCAGTGGAAAAGAAAAGGGTCTGCGGGTAGCTTGGAAGAGAGAGACATATTTTCCGTTAATTACAACGAATGCCAGGATGCCTGCCGTTTGCTCAGTCATGAAAAGTCATTGCGTCTTCTCAAATTTCATCAGTAATTCGCCCCCATCCAAGCGGGCTAAAATGAAATTATTGGCAGCCAGTCAAGCAGAAGGTAGTTGGGAAGGGGGGAATTCAAAGCCAACAAATTCTCCCCCCCCCCCCAAAAAAAAATTTGCCTATACACAGAGACCCTTTCTCTCGCAACCATCTGCAAAAAAATTTGATCATGAAACTGCTGGTCCGGCACTTTATTTGCTCAGTAGACGTGGCGAGAAGGGATGGCACCGGGGCACCAGAGGAAAAACAAATATTAACCTTTGTATTTCTTGCAGGGCAGGAAAAAAAATCACATGTGCAAGAAATTTTTGGCAATAGGTGGCCCAAATGTTGCCAGTGTAGCCAACAGTTAATTGTCTTGTTCGACCAGTGTTATCAAAGAAATGTTTGAGAACTTGCAATAAAACAGTGCAATTTAATTGCACGGGGTGGTAGGCTGTGGACACAAGCAGTGCACTGGATGAGTCCATTCAGTCATAGGGGAGGCAGGTTTTTTGTGATAATTACAAGCTTTTGATTGGTTGGAGACTTCAATTGATCAGACAGGCATGGGAACTCAGTAGCACAGTGCACAGCTGAAGTGTGGAGATCACCTGCCATGGTACTAGATGTGTAGTCCCTTTATTGCCATTGGTACAACTGTAAAGCAAGGAAACAACAACCTTAATGATTTCAAATTCTATAAATGTAAAAAAAAATGCATATATATTTAGAACTGGTATTGCCGTTGCAGATGCTGGAATTTTCTGTGTTGTACAGAATTGAACATAGATCGACAACACACAGAGTTAGAGTTTGCATCGGAAGAGGTTATTGATATACATACATGTAAGTATATTGTTCTCATTTGTCATCAATAATATCTGTCGTTGCTCTTTATTTGAATGAAATATTTGTGTGTGTTTTCTCCATGAGAACGAACACCCTTCATTTGACCTAAACAGTTGTAACTCTAAATGTCATATATCTTGACATCTCGGTTCTGAAAATACGTGTGGGTTGATTTGCTGGTCATAAGTGGAAGCCTGATGCTCTGGATGGGAATGCGAGACTTTGTGAAAGTTTTCCAAGTCAAAGACTAATCCAAAGTCAGAGAAAATTTGGGGTAAGATTGATGGAACCAGAAGAACCTCCAGGGATCCTTGAACCTGGCACCAAAAATGAAGTACTTGATCATTTTATTTAGTTACATGATTGGACTGATGAATTGTGGTTACAGTACACAAGTGTTTGTTTGACTTGTATTTTAGCTCCATGCCACAGGATGGCAGACCCTCTGTTCTGTTGGTGTTGGGGGTAGGATGGCAGGGAGAACATACATGTAAAAAGGGCCATTGAGATTTGAATTTTTAGGGCTACCTCCAGGTTTATTTCTTTCTGTACATATTTTTTTTCTTTGGACATTTTTTTTCTTTGGACACTGTGTGGAGTGAGGAGTCACAAACAGGGAAAGTCACTCACATTGTTTCTTCTCTGCTTCAGAATTTTCTTGGAATCAGTTTTCAGATTTGTTTGTCTACTTGCGATCTGACATCCAGTACAGTAAGCTTCACTTGTATTTGTCCTTGTGCTGGGCTTTGGTCAGTGTGAAGGTTTGTGATTGTGAATGGTCGAAACCAATGTCACTGTTAGAAACCGTGTTTGTGCACCCTGAATCCAGGGCTGCACTGGTCAGTTGGCCCTTTGTGTTGTGTACATTGGACAAAGAAAGAATATGGCGTGTTCCATGGCCTAGATAGAATTATTTAAGCTTACCCTTTTTCCTTCATTTCGACACAAAAGTCCAGCTGAAGTTTGCCCTCTCGGCCTGCTGATTGTCAGATTTTTTAACAATTGCTTGCTCCAGTTCAGTGTGAAGTTGCTCTAATTCTAACAATCTAAGTATTTTGAAGGTTCGAATGAAGTTTCAGGGAAATTGGACACTTTTTGTCTGCTGCTGACTGAGGAAAAGGGTAAAAACGTATTGCAAAAATGTGATCGTTTTTTTTTCTTTTTTTTGGCCAGGGGAGAGGGGAAAGGTTCATACCGACAGGAGGATGGCTTAAAAAGGCAAGATAAAGATGTTTAAGGGAAAAATCCAATCCTTGAAACCTTAAAATTATGACAGAACACTTGATTAAGGTTTGTGAACATTAAAAGAAGTAGAAACTTGAGGATCAGTTAAAAATAAGTCAGCTAAGTACACGTAATTAAAAAACAAATCTATCAGAGCCCTCTCTTTCAGCAGTATATTGTAGGAGTGACTTTGATTTTTTCCGACAAAGTGGCTGTGCAAAACCATTTGAAAATATTTGAATTCTTTCGTCAAAGAATTAGTTGTTTGAGTTGATGCAGAGCTTCTCAAAGGAAGAGAGCGTTTTGTGAATTTATTCCGGCAAAGTGGTTTCAAGGATAATATTTGTTTATAAGGTTCTCCCTTTCCCCTTTGAGGCAGCCCGACAGATGTCAGTTGAAGTGTGTGTGTGTGTTTTTTTTTTTTTTGGTCGTTCACAACCCGGGAGATAGAGGCACAATGGAAGGCCTTCCAGGCATCAGATCCGATTAGGCGGATTAGCTGGACCGTACTGCTCTGAAATTAGCGGGATTAGTGCGGGACACGACCAATGGAGCAAGTGATATGACCAGGGGGATCGCATGTAGCTTGGCCATAAGCAAGGAAGAGACGCCCGATCTCACAGCTGGCAGAACAAGGCCCCAGGGCCACTGTATAAAAATGTGTGTGGGTTTTTCAGAAATTGTGTATGAAATTTGCCCAAGGCCAGTGAGCAGGCAAACTCGCATCTTTCAAAAGTGCAGGAGGCACAAAAACCATCTCGTGGAGTGTTCGCTCACTCGGTGTAGGTTCACAAAGTTCAGTGGCACCACTTCGGCCTGTTTCAGTGCCGATGTTCTTCTTGTAAGCAATGTTTTAGAAAGCCAAGGTGCTTGTGTTAATTGCATTTCAGTATGTAACAAGCTTGATGAGATTTTCAGTCAGTCACGCCTGGTACAGAGGTCTTTCCGGCAAGTGTACTCCTGGGAGAAATGAGAACAAGTGTAGGGCTTGGAAAATGCAGAAATATCACTGTCGGAAGTTTTCCTGTTCTGTGTTTGTCAACTTTCTGTCGTTTCATCAAAGACTTGTTTAAGCTATGTAGCACAACAATCGACAAAAAAGTTCTTGATGTGTCATTTTTTCCAAATATAAATCCCTCAAAGAAATAGACAGGATTTGGAAGATTGCTCTCTTAATGATAACCTTCTAACTGGAAATGCGACATAGCAGGATTCCAGTGACAAATCTCGTTACATCATTCGCAGACACGAAAATATTCAGGTTACATTGTCTTTGCGGGGTGTTTTTTGTCCTTGCAGTCTTGCACATATTTCCACTTACTGCCTTTGTAGCAGTTTGCCGTTTCCGGTTGAGTAACCACCCATGGTGCAAAATACTCTCGGGAGGTGGGGGAGCTAAAGCTCAGTAGATCATGGGTGATGATTGCTTTCTTCTCTTCCAGAATCCGAGTTTTGTGTTCAGTGTTTACCTAAATTCTCATGAAAGTAGACTCTAGAGATCTTTTGTTGGAAGGTATGCCCGCACTCTACGTGCCCAGGCCGCAATTTGGAGTTTTGATTTTGGATTTGCTCAGCAAGGATGACACGCTCTTTGTATTCCATTCAGTACGGTTTTGTGCACTTTGGGGCCTGTGCCTGATTCGAATGCACTTTTCCTTGGCACAATTGTGCTTCTGGTTGAAGGACATCCGGTAAAGCGCCAGAAACATGCTCACAGACTGTAATTCACCTCGAAGGAGTGCTTTTTAGAGTGTTTTCAAAATCTGTCTCCCTGGAAGTTACCCTCCCACTGTTAAATTGGTTTAGTTTGAAGTGGGCGTCCCCTACTTTGACTGTAGGCATGTTTTGTTTCAAGTCTACATTTGTACCAAAATCTTCAAGAATAGACTTCCCCATTAATGCTGTGTGCTTTTGGAAGGTTTTGAAAGGTCTGACAATTCTATGGCAAAATGGCCAGTGCATAGCGGGGTTTAAATAAAAAAGAGATACAGTGTGTTGGAATGCTGAGTTCCACAGGCCAAAATGAGTCAGATTTTAACAAGTTTGTTCAGCTGTAATCTAAGATTTGTTTGTTTGATTGATTAATTTTACAATTTACATGTATTTATCCCTGGCCAACACTTCCAGGTATAAATTTGGACTTGCCCAACCCTTCCAGGAAAATTTGCAAGCTCCATTCGTGTTCAGAAAAAAAAAATTACTATTTTCATAATACAGAAAAGATTAGACCATTCTATTTGAGTCAGATGGAAAGTCTGTATCTAGTTGACATCCTGTTCAGGGCATTACGTCAAATTTGGAAGCCTTCCAAGGGAGTGGGACCAATCAGAGCAAGAGTTGAGACAATGGGGCGTGACTCAGTGACACGCTCTACATCACCGTCACAGTAGATGTCTGCAGCTGGCTGGGGGGGGGAACTGGAAAGCCATTTTTTTTTTTCATTTTATAAAAATGATGCATTGAAGCCAAATTGAACCATTTTGTTGGTCCATGTTGTAATGTGTACATACATATACATGTTTGTTTGGAGTTCTTTACTACTTTGTGGAATGATCATAATTTGTTGTATTACATGTAGGAAGTCTGTTCCAAGGTTTTTTGCTGCGGAACTGTAGATAGTAGTTGAGGGTTTTTGATTAAAGATTTACACAGTGGAAAACATTGTGTGGTAGAATTGTGTTTGTTGTGAAGTTGTTCAGATTGTGAGGAATTTTTATAATTTCTTGATGGTTGTTGATTTCATAGTGTCCCTTTTTTCCCCCTTCAAATTGCAGGAAAGAATGACTGGTGGATTTCTTGTCAAGTTTTCTGAAGCACAGCAAACTGCAATTGGATTCTTCAGGTTCTGACAAATCCAACATTTGAAAAAGGATTTGCTGGTGGAGAGGTGCATGTTCGTATATACATTGCACTCAGAGCAACTCCAGAACCCTCCCCAGTGTGAGATTGCGAACCTAGTTAACTATGGGTTACCTGATAGTGACGTTGCGTTCCATACTGTGGACTGTCGTCAGTATTGGCATTGTCGTAATGCACGTCTTTGCCGTCATCAACCCAGACTGGCTGCTGCGGGACGACAGGTCCCTCACAGCCACGCTCGTGTCGACCACACCGGAGGATGCTCCATCGAACACAACAGGGTCGTCGCTGAGACCAGACTCGTATGTCTCCGTCACACAGAGCTCAGCCCACGGGCTGCTTACACTGTGCCGAGAGAGGTACTCGCCGGGCGGCGTCTTGCACTACGCGACTGGTGCAGCCCAGGAATGCACCTGGATCGCCAGTTTCTTTGACCTGCCGATTTGGCTGTGGATGTTGACTGTTGTTTTCTACTGTCTGGGTCTAGCCATTCTGGGGTTTATCGCCATTGTGTCAATCTTCACCTTCTGTTTTAGGAGCATCTGCAAGAAAAGCATCTTCACTGTGTCGGGACTCATACAAGCAATTGCAGGTGAGTGGTGATAAGCGATGCTGTACAGTGGTACTTATGCTCAAGTACCCATTGTTTGCTCATACTCCAACTTGTCAAAATATCCCCAACTGAAACCATTGGTAAGAGTAGGATCTGAGATATTTTTGAGAGAGAGAGGAGAAGCTGGCATTCTGAACGAGATCACAGTCTTCAAGCAGCAAGCCGAGGTTTGCAACTTGCGACGTTTTTTTTTCAAGATATCATTTTTGATTTAAAAAAATATCAATATTGACCAGATCTGGGTTAACCATATGGACCGTTCCCCCTCATGTCCACACTTGCTGGTGCTTTATTTTTCTTGAACTCTGACTGGGTCATTTCATTTCCTTATAAATATGCAGCACTTGTATGAAACAGAAAGGAAAGCATTGTTTTGTGTTTTTGTTTTTATAATGAGGGGATACGCATGTACAAATAGATACATAGATTTACCCTAGTAGGAGCTTTTTCTTTTTGATATCTGCATTTCCAATGATAGTAGACGGTAATGGGTAAAACATCACTCCGGAATTCTCCAGAATTAATCATAAATTCGGATAAACTGCACAAAAACACCTCCAGGATAATCCCGGAGAGCAATGACCACCCGGTTAGTACACCCCCCCCCCACAAGATTAAACGAGTGGTAAACAGAAGATTTTCAAGGAAAATTGAGTTTATTTGCTGATGACTAATCAAAACATGTGTATCTGCTGGGAAGTTTGACACCCTCCATGTTAAAACCACTGTATAGGGAGTAGTACAGGAACTTTGCAATCATGGTACAATGAACATGTACATGTACATGTCCATGTACTTTGTGCATGCAGTGGAAGCTGTACAGTACATGTACATGTACATATGTCCATGTACATGTCCATGTCCATGTACTTTGTGGGTACATGCAGTGGAAGCTGTACAGTACATGTACATATGTACATGTACATTGTACATGTTTTGTACACACTTTACAAGCTGATGTGGGTGCGTAGTCCCGAGGAAATATGTGTGGGAAAATAATCTGAATTTTTTTTTTGGGGGGGGGTGTTTTTTCCCCACTGTTTGATTTGTGTTGACCCTTTGGTCTAGAGTGACCTCATCCCTTCTCGTTGAGTGTTTTCTCTGGCCGGGGGTGGAATTCGGCATTCTGTCACAAAAGTACAGTGTAAAAAAAGTTGTGGACCTCAGATGAGTTCAACTTGAAAAAAAAAGGGGACACTATTTCATTTGGGGTTTGACAAGGAGGCACCCGAAAGGGGATTTGTTGGCAATGTAAGCAGTTCAACCGACGTGCAGTAGTGTCTGTGGGCATGGCCTGTATGCAGTACGTAGGACAAACTTGTAGATTTTGGTCAGGCTGAAATTCTTTATCAGGCCATTGTACGCTACATGGGATTGAAATTTCCATGAAGAAAAAGTTGCTCAAAATCTTGCGCTTGAGAGGAAGGAAGGAGAGAACACACCAAAAAAAAAAAAAAAAAGCCAAGCGTATGTAGTTTCTCAGTATTGAAATAAGATTTACCAAATAGTGATTGCCCAATTTAAACTCATTGCCCAATTGAGACTCATCAAGCATCAGTTTGAGTGGCCTTTTTGTGATTGACAATAACATATCACCCCACAGGAAATTGGTCATACAAACTGTCTGCGGCTATACAGTCTGCCAGTTTTCAATTTATAGATGGTCGTGAATTGACCTCCTGTTTCTCAGCAATTCCAGTGTCAAACCTTTGCAAATACGGTTCTTGAAACAATTTCACATAATCTTTGTGAAATCTTTGCGAAGATACCGACTTACCGAGACTGTTACCATTCCTTGCTCGGGGGGGGGGGATGATTGGATGGGAGGGAGAGACAATGTCGGATTATAAAAGGTCAGATATGGTAAAAGCAATTTTTTTAAATGAATTTTTTGGTGCTTTTACGGTACTTCAAAATGTGTGCGTTCTCCCCACTAATAATAAGACCTGGAATGACATGCTTTGCACGCATGTCATGTGCATTTTTTCCTGTGGAAATCCAGTAAAGCATAGGGCTGTCCCGAATATCCGGAAATTCGATCGAGTATCGAATATTTGAATATTATTTTCCGAATTCGAATATTCGAAGCAAAATTAATGAAAACGAAGGGAAAATTCTCTTTTGTTTTAAATGTGAAAAAATTGCACGATGGAGCCTTGGAGGCTTGCTTCAAGCAGACTCAAATGAAAAGCGACAGAAATCTTATAAAGATTGAAAAATTCATTTATGCATTACAAAATTTTAAAGGACAAGAAGTATTGTTCATCACTAAATCTTGCTAAATCATGGCTGGAGATACCAGTACTCCCAGACACAAGAAGCTATTATTACAGTGATTAAAATGTACAATGTTGTGCATTATTGCAAAGTTCTGATTTTGTATATGGATTGTTCATCAACAATCTGCCTGTCAGTTCGAACAAATATTCGGATATTCGATTGAATTGAAGGTCGAATATTCAAATAGCGAATTATTTGAATTGACTCAGCCGTAGAAAAGCACACATGTATGTAAATAAAAATATGTATCATTTCCACCAGTCAAGGCTCAGATTTGGTTCGATAGAGCGGTTGTACCATCCTGTGCTTGGCTTAAGGGCATTCTGGCTTTTTTTTTTTTTCACAAAAGTCACCATACATCAGGTGACTTAATTATGCCCTTCTGACGAAACCATATTGCTTTATTGACTTCAGTGAAAATCCCCAAGAAGTGACTGTATGTGGTTATATACGGTGTCCCCGCATTCTGACTGGCTCTTGAATATGGGTAAAAGGCCGACAGGCTGATGATATAGTCTCTTCAAGGGCAGGCGCTTGCCGGCAGCTGTAGGAACAACGGGAGACACTGTTGTGGTTTTTTTTTAACAACCTCTTCAAAAGCTGAGGTGTGTGATAAACAATAGCAAATTTGGTTACCAGCTCTGGGGCAGAAGTGGGTGAAGAAAATTGGGGGAAGTGCTTCAGAACAGGCCAGCGCAAGTCCCTTTGTGGTTTCCAAGGTTTTTATCACTGGAAAATGTAAACAGTCACTTCAGACTGGCCTGGGCATTACAGTGAAATAAACTAAGAAAGATTAGGGGATTTTGGTTTGGTGTCTGACAATTTGTAACATTTGGGAAGTGGTCTCACAAAAATCAGTCCACAGTCATCAAATTTGGAAGTGGAAATAGAATACATGTACATGTATATGTATGCCATTTTTAATGAAACTGGTCTTCATGTAAGAACAAAAAATGAGGAATGGAAGAAAGACATTGAAAATTCAGCCTATTCATCCTGCACCCTTTTTGAAAATCTAGGAATATATCTTCACCGTTGCCGGGCAACTTTGTCTCACCGGTCGGATTATGCCTCCCGTGTTGCAATAGCTAGGCTTTTGAAAGCCTGAGAGTGGAGGATGCTGGATTTGCCGGTTGTCTTCAGTGAGCGGCTTGCCCAAGGGATAGAAATCACATAATGGTTGCTTTGGTTGACCGAGGCAAATCAGTGAACAGCAAGGAAAGGGTTGAAAAGAAAAGCAATCTTATGACAATGATATGTACAACATTCCCTGTGTGGACCAAAATTTTGAACTCGGAATTGCCCATATATCTGGCAACTGTATACATGTACATGTATGTGAATTAAATGAACTTTTATACACAATTTATTAACTGCAAACAACCTTCTCTAGCTCCAGGTCTTTTGAAAATGTAACAGCAAAACCTTACAGAAGTACATACTCTATGCTCGGTGCAGTTCTAAACTGAAACTTGAATTTTTGTTCTCTCTCATGGTATTGGTTAGTGGCACTGTAAAATCCCAAGAGCTTTTGGTTTACACTAGGGAGTAGACCCACCCAAGGAAGTTTACTAACACACATCAGAAATGAGCATCAGTGCAAATCTGCAGATCACACGAGGTTTGTTTGCACAGTCTGCTTATAACAGCTCTTTTTTTCAAGCTCTTTTTCCAACATCTTCCAACTTGTGTCTTTTGCTCAGAACAGGGATTTATCTGTAACTACATGTAGCTAAGATTGAGATGGTTCCTGCAGTGCTAGGTAATACATGGACACCAATAACTGGGCAGAAAACAACCTACCTGATAATAGCGATCGCAGACATTTTTTAGGCTGTAAATATTTTGCTCTTATTACATGTACTTAGTTCCCGAGAAGAAGTTTATCATTCTGTAGTTCCCAGGCTGGTCAGAGCACACCTGGCTACTCTATAAAAAATCTGACCCAAATTTGACCCCTCTGAAATTAAACAGTAATCCCAAGCGCCTACCCACAATTCCCAGAAGAGGCTTCAAAGGTTGATGCCTTTACCACCAAGCGCAAGGCAATATTTGAGCCAGATGGTTTAAATGGTTAAACCATGGAGGTGGTTAAACAGGGATTACCAGCCAAGGGTTTTGGACGGGCCAAGTGGAAATTAAACATTCCATTTATCTGAGTGTGGTTCCCTGTTTGGCTTGTAGGTTGAACGCCCTAACAGGTGGTCACAAAATGTAAGTAGGGCATGCTTCATCATGGGTGTCTTTCCCTTGTATGAAGTGAAAGGTGACGGGTTTTAACACCTCCTTACAAACCACACTGTGGTAAGGAGCTGATTGACCTATAGGCTGCCTCCAACTTGCTCTATGATTTAAGCACAGATTTAAGAGAGAACTGCCTTGTCTGCCCAAAGTGCCCAGTCAGAGGACAGCAGTTGTAAATCAAATTACCTGTACTGACAATCTTACTAGGAATGGAGTTCGGACCACACATTTGTTTAGCATTTGCCCAACCTACTAGTACTAACCCCCATGCTAGGCAACAACCTGCCTAGTCATCTCTCGTGACGGGCTGTGCTATCCAGGAAAATTGAAACTGTGTATTCAACACCAGTAGTTGCGTGTGCGCGCTATGTAAAATGTTCTAAACTCACGCGCCTGCTGATCCAAATGTGTTCAAAATACGAAAAATGAAGTGAAAAAAGGCCAGTGCATGTGGCAATCTGTAGGAGGGGATGTCATTTGAGAGAGACCTGTAAGCACACCATCAGGCATCCTCTATGTCTAATGTCAATGGCATCTATTTTATCGGGTGCGTATTGTAAATCTGACGCCTCATTAGTCAGATGCGTCGTAAGTCCGAAAATTTGGACTTTGAGGCATCGGACTTATGAGGCGTCGGATCTGTAGGCCAAAATAAACTAATGAAGAAGCGTCGAACTTTTAAGGCGTCACACTAGATGGACTTTTAAACACATTTTTCAGATTTTTCGGACATGCCATGAGGCATCAGACTTTGAGCTGACCCCATCTTTTCACTATTGAAGTAAAAATCCTTTCACACTAAGCTTTATGGCATTGTTTGTGTTGCCTTGCTCGGTCTCCTGAATCATGCACACCCTGCCCCTCCCCCATGCATGGTCAAAAGAACTGATACTCGCAAGCATTTATAAGCCCCCCATAAAAAACCCTTTTCCTGTATTCCTATGGCAACAGCTAGTCTCTCTAGTTACTTTCAGTGTCCTGCTTTGCATCACGTTGACATTCAAAATGTTTACCCAGATCATGGTATGTGTTTGCCAACATCCGAGTTCAAATGAAAGGAAATCGGTGTACGGCCGTGTTTGATTACAGGATGTCATGCGTGCCTCCTCATTCAGTTGTGGTCCCCCCTTCAATTGCCGGTTTCACCCCCACTCACACTGGAAGAAAAATTAACGATGTTTGCTTTTCGGTTCGTGCTGTAAAAAAAAATTGAGAGGGCGATGAAGAGAGCTGAGCACTGCAGGTTTATTGGCATGTGGTCAAGGCCTGTGGATTGTGATATATGGACCTGAGCTTGGATGAGTTCCAACATTATCACCAGAAATGGGATGTTGACGCAGCAACCCTGGCAGAAAGACTAAGATCAACACATTTTTCCTGAGAGATTGTTCTTTGAGAAGTGTACGTTTCCAACCTAAATATTGTCCTGTCTTATCTTTAAATTCAGACCTGCTCTCGTGCGTGGACAGTTAACGGCCATCTTTGCCGACATGTACCTCGTGAGCACAGACAAGGATAATGATGAAATCGTTTCAGTTTCAGAATTTGTAAAAAAAAAAGATAATTCCTAGGACCTCTGTTCCTTTTTTTCTCAAGGGAGAAGTCCATTCCGCTTGCAGTTTGTTAACCTCAGTAGTTTTGAATCCTCCAAAATTGAGTGAATTTTTACAGTTTTCCTAGGATTATAACAACAGTGGCGTAGCAAAGGCATTTTCCGGGGGGGGTGCCAGAGTCATTTTGCTGACTTGTAATTTGTTTGCCAACCTTGTGTCGTGTACTATTCACAAAAGTGATTCATGGTACACTGCATTTCATGCTTCAGGGGAAATTCCGACTGCCAATGTATATCAGTTATGTACTATTTTGGATTCATTTGCCGACTGAAGCTCTATTTGCCGACTGGAATTAATCCCCCCCGGTCACTACGCCGTAAGGTTCGTTTTCTTATCCTTTTTTTGTTGTGAATAAAAAGTATATTTAAACTTTAAGGTTTCCATGTCGGGCATCGTAGGCTCGCTGTTCTAAGGATACATGTACAAAACATCAGTCCCACTACATTGAAAGCACTCAGGGGAATGAACCTCACAGCTCTGTCAAAACAATACAGGTTGCCTTTCACTCATTAGACCTGTTTGCCTTCCTCGGCAACTAAACTCAAATAGATCTCAGTGTGGTTGGTCCCAGTAGACCATCAATCAGACACATATTAAAACCAGCTCTGAATTCCGAGTCCATGACAAATTACTGGACCGAAACTAGACCGCGGTTCCATTACAGCTAATAACCTGGCTTGGGCAGACCACTATACCTCGGAACCCGCCCAGTGTAATCATCTCCCAGAACAGTAAACATTAAAAGCAAAGGCCGGTTTGTTGAATGAACGATCTTTGAAGGGTGTTCGGTAACACAGAGACCTCACTTGATGGATAGGAAAGCTAGGCGCTTATTATTGTTATCAATTTGTGTGTATCGACGGCTTTAGAGCGTACATGGAGTCAGCCGTTGACATCCAGGCAATCGGCGGTCACTCATGCAGGAAGGTGGCATACTGGTCATGACGGACAATTTTGCTACAGACGTCATCATCAAGTTTGGATTGGTTGTGGGAAGACTTTCTAGGGTAGTAGCAGCAGTTGGATTGTTCTGCTGTGCTTAGCTTTGTGGCACTGCGCCATGCTGTGCCACTCTACCCTGCTCTGCTGTTTCTTGCTCTGTGGCTCAACCCAGCTCCACTTAGTGCAGCTCTGATCTTACATGGCTTCAGTTGGCTTGATAAGGATGATTGTGGGTCATGTACTGGGCCTGGCTTGCCTTGCTCATTGTAAACTCCTCTGGTGTGCATGACCCTTTTCTGCGCACCCTTGCCCTGCATGGCTAGGCTAGGCTAGACTTTGACTTGGTATGTTTACCTCAGCACCTTGTGCACCACATCCTAGTTCTCTGCTCCCCATTTGACATCACAATCATCCCTTGGTAATGGGAAAAAAAATCTCCACATTTTCATCTATCCTTCCTCTATTTTTTCTCCAAACTCCAGGTCTTCTCATCCTCCTGGGCCTCGTGGTGTACCCAGCGGGCTGGGGTTCGGATGGAGTCATTGAGCTTTGCGGCATGGATGCTGCCCCCTTCCAGTTGGGAGCGTGCTCACTAGGCTGGGCATTCTACGTCGCTGTGGCGGCCACGTTCCTCACCTTCGCCTGCTCGGTGCTGTCCGTGCAGGCTGAGATCGCCACCTCCAGCGATGACGTTCAGGACGAGATACTGAAAGGGAAATATGTCATCTGTCTGCCCTGACGACAGACCAGTACTCAGGTGTTAAGCAGACCAAGGAGCATTGACTGAGCTGTGTTTAATTTTTTAAATCCGCACTAATCACGCAGGCAGAAAAAAAATTCCACTCAGAGCTAATTTTTCACGGGCTTTAATACGTAGGAGCCCGTCCTCTGCCAAAACAAGCAGATCACTCCCAAGAACATGTAGCAATACAGCTCTTTCAAAAATGCCACTGGCATGGTGAAAGTTTCAAGCTGTAGAAGCCAAGACATAAACCACCAAGATTTAGACAACCACTCCTTGGACTAAAATAAAAAAATAAATAAATAGGAGCCAAATGCTTTGAAGTCCTGACATACCTGAATCACTTAACTGAATTTTTTTGTATAAAAATAAAATGTAGTTTTCTGTACATATCTTAATGTCCACAACTGAGAAGGCAAACATGCAGCAGTGTTTTTCAGACAGAAGTAAGTCAATTCCTGCATGTTTCCTACACTTCTGTACTCTTCAAATTAAAGGCGACAATCATAGAATAGTGTATGTGAACGAAACATTCCCCAAGTGACCAAGAAAATATTTGAAGGTTGCGCACGTACATATATGTAATAATTTAACATTTACAATCTTCTGTTTCAGTTTTTTTTTCGGGGGGGGTTGTTTTTTGGGCATTTTTGTGGTGGAGGCGTTGGGGTCGGCAAAGGTGAAATGGTATGGAAATTCTTGTGAATAACCTGAAAGAGGTTCGGAAGTTTACATGGCATTGTCGTGGCATGACTAAACAAACTCACGTCCACTCTTGATTGGTGATAACAAGTCCCTGAGCTGATAACCCCAGCTGTAGAGGTCACTGTGACATATCTGTTCTACCCCAGAAAATGAGAGAATTCCAATGCAGAATGCATCAGAGGTTTTGGGATGAAGCTATATTCAAAATATTTAGCGCAACACAATTGTCAAAACAACTCTTTTTGTAAATATGCAAAACATTTGTATCAGATGTTATCTGTCTGCATTTTCGTCAGTGTGGAACAGTACTTGTTTTATTTTCCAGTTTATTTTATATTTTTTTTTGAAGAATGAAGAGTGTTTCTGATTGATGCAATTAATCTTAATTTTTTTCATTAATTGGGATTAGTTCATCTGACTGATAAATGAGGATAGAGAAATATTGAGGCGTGATTTTGGTTTACTCTGCTGCGACAAGCAACATAAAGGCTGAAGAATTAATGGACGTCATGCCAGGTCGTTCCATTCAAGGATGACTTTGATTCCAAAACAGGGAAAGTTATCACCAGTGAACATTTGAAAACAGTTTCTTGAGATGGTTTCCTGTGCTCCCCGTCGCCCAAAATATATTTGGCTTCGTACTCCACGTCTGCTGAGCTTTATTATACAAAGGAACATTTTTTAAAAAGTTTCCCGTTGGCTGAATCAAACAATGCACGTACATATACGCACAGTCATCAGGCAGGTTTTGTACAACATGCATCATCTTGTCAATTTTAGTTTATTTTTCAAACATCGTAAATATTAATAAATATAACAGAGTCCCTGAAGCATAGGACTCAGGCCTGCAACATGAACTATGAGAATTTTTTGGGTAAGGTAGCTTCAGAGCCATATGAAAGAAATTACTGTCAAAGAGACAAAAGAAGTTTCAGCTTGGCTCCCTGCACACCCCTACGGGTTTCTTTCAATCGATTCATGTTCTGTACAATGT